GTGTGAATTGGCATATAATATGAAAAATAACCTCATTTCTCTCTATTGTACTTTTTTAAGCCACTATAGATACCATTTGTCATGCGACTTGATAGGATTTTAACTCTTAGTGGAGTTCAGACCTAGTGAGTAAATGATACAGAGAATTAGAGAGAGAAAGAGGGTGACAGAGGGAATATTTTACCAAAACGTAAAGTTGGAAACTTTAATCCCACACTGAGATCTCAAGAGTTTTTATCCTATTAATAATAGGATAAATAAATGCTGCAATGTAAATAAGGTGGTAAGGGAACAGACTCCTCTCCAAGTTGTGGTAGCCCCGTGATTTGAAAAAGGGTATTAAAGTAATTTAATGAAATTAAGCACAGTAGGCAAGAAGTGCACAACTGGGGAATATATCACCGAGATAAAGTGCAAATGAACGACAAACCTGCCAGAATACCAGTATTTCTCTAAAAATCATAAAACAGGACATCAAATATTTTTTCGACATTTCAGTCATACTTCAAAAACCAACACAGAGAAAATGCTATTATTCCATTTTTATCCTGAATGTTAGATTTTGCTTTTTTTTATATGATGCAGATAAAAGCTATTCGGCAAACGTAGGTGAAAAAGCACGCAAAACAACCAACCTATTAATGCTCAGAATTATATATGTATTCCCTAAAAATGTAAAGCATTTTTGCTTATTTATTATGTAAAACAAAACTGTTAAAATGTTAATAAAATCCTGTAGCCAAAGGAAAAGAGAGTTTGATTTCTTCTTTAACTACAAAACACAGGGTTTCACAAAGAATAATGTTGCATATTTGAAAATTTATTTCAAGTGTAATAGGGTCTATATTTGACAGTTAATGTACTATAGAATACAAGGGTTTTTTTTATTTATTTATTGTATTTTAGCCACATTGCATTTTAAAGAAAGACTCTTGAAGAACTGAAAATAACAGTCACTAATGAAATGTGCTAACGCAAGATATTCAAACATGACATCGGTTTACAATTCTTCCCTGCCGTTCTTTTTTCTCAGTTGTGTGTTACACAACTGCAGCCTGTGACATGCCGGTGCTCTCTGACCTCTGTTCATTCCTCAATCCAGATTTAACTTCTTTGGTGTCTGATCAGTGCGGTGCACCACCGCAGTAACTTACACACGCAAACACTTTTATCAAACCAGTTACCCCCAGGAATCAGCTCTTTGCAGCACAAATCTTTTTTTGTGACAGATATTAAGCGCTACTTCAATTTATTTTTTTTTTTTACATAACTACTGTATATTCCAAAGTAGTTGCAGAGAGTAATTTTTGAGACTGCTGATGTCTTGTAGCTGAATCAGAAAAAGCAAATAAATTTTAAAAAAAATCATTGTACAATGAAGCAGCAGCATAAAGAATTAAATGCTTCAATATTATTTCTAAGTAATAGCCCTTGAAGCAGATGATGTTTGTTGGATATATTTTAAAAATATGCTCTGACGTCTTATAAAACCTTTTACTAGAAGTGAGATATACTGCTTGAACTCTTAAACGTTAAGCACATAATTACTTTCTCAAATCTTTGGAAACGGCATCGGTGCTGACGGGACACGACCCGCTGACTCTGAACATAGACACGTGCCAACACACCCAGCTTGCTCTGCAGAAGTTTTCCTATCAATAAACAATCTCTACAAATATTTTCACAATGTGTAATGAGAAATGTTATAACAGAGGCCAGGAGGAAAAAAATGAAGTCACAGAAATATGGACACAGTAATAAATGTTTTTGAAAGCACTTCATCAAGAAAATAGTTTAAGATATGACATCAGTCTCACAATGAAAGAGGTGTTTTACTAATCTAGACATTTGAATGAAATTAAACATTTTCAGTGCATTACTTCTGGATCCGGAGTTGTCTGACTCTCTCCATACCTACGCCCAGAGACACTCTACACCGTTTTTGTCTGTTGTACATAAAGAACAATAACCGCAACGATTTTCACACAAAAACGCCGTGGCTTTCTGGGTGTGCCAAGCTTGGCATAAAGAGACTGAGACTGCTGGCCGTGCTCCCCGGCTGCCTTAGGGTGAGCGTGGCACAGGGAGGTTCCCTGGCTCTCCCCACTGTCACAGCTGTCGGCCAGAAGGGTCCCATTCAGCTGCTCCCTGTACAACGGCAATTTTCTTTGCGATGCTCTTTGGTTCTTCTGAAGGAAAAGTCAGGTTTGTAACAAACGCTTTGTCCACCTCCAGGCTGTTTCCTCAGGACAACAGGTAGTTTTATACACACTGAATAGGCCACTAAAAAGTCGAGGCAAAGCGGTGCGCTCCCACAGCACCCTCCTGTGCTCCCACAAATCCACACTTGGTTAGTCCTCATTTGCAGAAAAGAACTTCAGCGCTAAGTTTCATTCCAATGCAAAAACTTTCGGAATAATCTTACAACTCAAAGTGAGAAAAGAACAAGCTTGTCATTAAGGAGGCTATGAAGAAATCCAAAAGGAACAACAGCAATCAGGAAATACTGCAGCATTTTACTATTAAAAAAATTCACCTGCCTGCTGCTCAGACACTGTGGTGGTGCGGCTGAGTGAAGGTTTGCAGGTCCATTCTGGCCCTTCAGACAGGAATATGTTTTATCATTTTCTCCTGTCATTCTTTTACAGTAGATAGTGAAGGGAAACAGTTTTTTAAGGAAGAAATTCAAGCCAAAACCTGATGCATGACCTGGTTGTTACAAGAAATCTCTACAGGCACTCATCAGTCTATCTGGAATATGAGCGAAATCAAAGGTGCTTCCTACAGGCACACCTTACAGTACCAAAACAGAGACAGTGCTTCAGCTACAAATACGGGATCGAGGCACAGATCTAAAGGTTTGTAAAACTCTGTGGTTGGAAAAACAGCACTGGAGCTAAGCTGTCCACAGCTGACTTACACCAGCATGCGTTACTCATAAGCTGCTTGAAGGAAAAAGTAAAAAATAAGTGAAGATGCACAAGGAAGGAAGGAAGATGTGAGTGTGTGTATGGACACACACATTTTTTATATATGTATATATATATGGTTTGGTTTTTTGATTTAAACTTTATTAACTCAGACTCAAGTTTCATTTGATTATAATATAGATCAGCATTTGATCCTGAAATAAAGGTAGTTGCCAAAAATTAACAGCCCAAAGCAGTTTTGAAGGCATCTGGTGGGAAAAAGCAAAAACTGGTGTTCATGTGTATCATTTTAACTATGCCAATTAACAGCTGTCTACACCCCACTGTACAGTCTATGAAATACTGGTGTGCAGTCTCATATGATGCGGATCATGGGGGAAAACAAAACAGCAGGGTGCGGACAACCAGGCACACGGACAAATCTACTGTGATATGGAGCATAAAATCCTAAATGTAATAGGAACAACTTAATTTCTAGCACTTGCTGCCAAACCACCTAAACCCTAATATGTGAGGATTACTCTAAATTACCATTACAGACTAGTTTCCTTGTTTTAAGACTTCTTGGCTTTGTAACTGAAACAATCTACTAACATGTTCAGATTGTTTATGAGGTGAACTTTAACCTAAAAAACCCATTTCTGGCTAGCAGACAGAAGTCCTTTGTGGAAACCAATTTGGCTGATCCACCTTCAGTAGGGACAAGGTAACGTAATAGGCAGTGCTGCCTACTTGAGGAAATGAAGCTGGCCACATCACACCTATGACAAACTTTTCATTTGCAGAGAACTGTTTGAAGTGCTGTGGTGGCCAAGTCTCCTGGTGCAAATTCACCTTGCCCGGGAGAAAAACCCGACAAGCTGCCATCGCACGGAAGCTCCCACGTGCCTCCTTCACCATGCTTTCCACTCATGACCAAGCTGTTACACCTAACCTGGAACTGGGCAGCCAGCCCCTAAAGCAAGCTACTTTCAGGTCAGCAGCTGTTAAACCTCTCACTTTTAATGGCTGGCAGCAACAACAGATGCTCTGCTTTGGGAAAGGGGGTGACAACAGAAACAACGGAAGAGAATTTGCACACAGGTTAACTACGTGCTTTCTCTTTTTCACTGTAGTAGTTGTTTACGGCAGATATTTTAAGAGCAAGGCATTTTTCTCTTATTTATTTGCTTAACTTCATTACTATTACAATAGAATTACTGTTGAATTGTAAACTATTTAGCTTCCCTCTCCTGACATTCTACAATAACCTAGATAAGAGGATTGCAACTATGTGAGATACACTACTCCAGTGGGCTATTCTTATAGTGGCTAAAGTCTCTTGGAAGACTATGATTCAAAGGAGATATGAGATGATTTACTCAAATCCAGCTGACTATGAAAAGCAGACTACAAATAATTTGGATAATGAACCAATGTTCTTAAGTGCTGACAGAAACTCCCCAAAAACTCAAGGCAGCCATGACAGAGTTGTAGACCTGAGACCAAAGCACGGCGTGGTAAACTGTCGTACAGGCCCACGAGGAGAACCATATCAGCAAGGCTCTACTTAGATCTGAATCTAAACACAGTGGTAATCCAGAAATATACCATGAGCTCTTCCAGATGTTTCCACTGCAGACAACGCATAAACCAGAATTTAGTTTAAAAAACCAGCAAAAATGTAAATATTGTACTGCATTGTGCAAAAGAACAATAAAATCACAGAGACACAAAAAGAAAATATTTAGCCGCTTCAGTTTCTCAAGTACAGTGAGTAATTGAAGAGAAAGTTCTGTTCATTGTAAGGTATTCCTTTGCAACCAGGCTCCTTTGAAAGAGCAGATGCTTACAAAGAATGGCAACATAGATATGTTTTAAAGTTAACATGAAAGAATAAAGGCCTTCAGCAATAACTACCTTTTCTTAACTGTTGAAGTTATCCATGTCAAAGAACAAAGATATCAGAAAATCAGAAGAAAAAAAAATAAATCAAGCTTTATCAACTACCCTTCCCACCCTTCAGCAAGTTTAGCTGCTTGGTGCCAAAACCGAAAGAGCCTCCCTTTGTGCTGTGAGCTCTGAGGACTATTAGTGCTTTGGGACTATGAGGTTTCTCAGCATGTCAAACGAGTTGCCGTCTGGGTGCACAGACTCTACACCCTTCCCTTCCTCATGAACTTGAAGGAATCCGTAATCATCTATCCCGACTATCCATGCAATCGGGCCCTCCTCATTGTGGAGACGGACTTGCTTACCGCTGCAAACAAAGAGGATGAGACAGTTAGGAATTAATTGGTGAATATTGCACAAACAAAAATAGCTTAGAGGACTAATGTCTAGCAGAATAGTTTTATTTTCTGCTTCACTGGTTCTTTATAGAGAATGATTTTCTACCTGTTTTAATTTTTTCTCTGAAATTAACAGTTGGAGTTAATTCAAATAGTCTATTTTATTTTAAGACATGAGTACAGCAGCTTCATCACTAGCTAAATGAATCCTTCCCAATTCCCTTTGTTTTGAGATGATGCATGTAAAATAGAAGTGTTCTTTAACTCATGCTAGTCCATTGAGTTTACTATGTGCTATTTTTATCGTCCCTTAAAAAATTACATCCTACTTGGGAGTATATTTTAATTAAGTCACTCATATTAAAGGCAATCTAGTAGAAAAAGTAGAAAAAGAAAAACTATCCATGAGTTCTTTCCAATTTTCTTACAAGAAAGTTTTAGAAGAACTTATACTTACCTGTGTATCCAGTACTTGTAGTAACGGGGCAGAACTCCATTGGGCCCTTTCTCCTGAAAAATATCTATAAGCCTCTCTAGCACAGTCACAGTTCTTGCAATAAGACAGTCTGCAGTTAAAGGCTTCAGCTTTGTCCCCTCTTCCTTATTAAATTTTGCAATGAGATCATTGATGCATATGGTGGGGTTGCTGTTACTCACATTAAATCCAAAGCCTGAAGAAGACAAACCAAAAGAAGAGGACAGGATCTGTAAATACGAACGCTTTGTTACCACCAGAAAGTCAGTTCTTTCTGGTACTACTTGACACAATTATCTCTAAGGATGTTTCCAATAGCTGTTTTTCTTCAGTCTCTTACACCTTTAAATCTTCCTACTTGAGTAATTACAAATCTCAGTCCAGATTTTATTCGTTCCTTGCCCTTAAAATGCCTCCTCAGAATTGTAGAAGCAAATCCAGTGTAAGCTTTCAACAACACACCATCCTGTCAAGGAGGGTTAGGAAGATGGTAAGTGGTAACTTGCACATTGGTTACAATAACATCAAAGTGAGAAATTCGTTTACTACCTGGAAGCCGACAGGTCATTAGCTAATTGAGACTAAATCATCGATCATATTCTAAGATGGAGTTTTACCTTTCAGTCTAAAATTTAATTAAGAAACCTTTCTGTTTACTACAGTTAACTGATTGCATTTTCTGAAAATTAAGCCTTTTCACTCAGCTGATAAGCCTTGTTTGGCTTGCTCTGAAAAGCCCAGAAGATTTAACTTTGCTGTGTAAGACTCCAGTTTGCTTAATCTATCTTACCACAGCATATCCTTTAGAAGCCTCAAGTCTCTCGCTGAGATTTCTCCAGCTAGAATAATGTTGGCAGAACGCCTTTCTTATTTAAACATGGCTCTTGGGGCTTTTTTTGAAGCCTGCTGAAACAGGCTTCGAGGGATGTAAAGAAATATATTATATTACCTGTTTATTTTTTTCTCCTAATAATTTAGATTTTTCTTTCCTCAGACATTTGGGATAAAACCTCTGTCTGTCAATCAGGTTTAGACATGATACGCTTCTTATTTGCAAGAATGTTCAGACGCACTGTTTTGTAAATTTCCTATTAATGAGACTATTCATATACGGAAGTAATTCATACTATGAGGAGAAGGACTTTTTAACTAGTCAGAGAACACATGCAAAGAAAGCCACAGTGATACCAGTACCAATACATTGATCCTATGGGAATGAGGCGAAATGTATTATCGGGAAGAGACAAAGGAAAATGAACTGGAAAATATTGTGTGCAATGCCAGCAAATCCCAATTCAGCTGTTTACAGCTCAAATACAGTACAAGTGAAGAGAGAATGACCATGGCCATTAGGCTGTGACTGGTACTGTCAGGGTGCATAACGAGGCCTTGGAGTCGATCTGCAGGCTCAGGGCACTCACGCTTGTATGCACGGAGAACACTACTTAGCAATCCAAAAATTGAAACAGACACGAGAGACATACCATGATGATGAGCTCAGCTGAGGCAGAAGCATCTAGGGATAAACATGGAGGCAAAAATGTAGCCAGGTAACTTGAAAAGTATTAGGTGCTCAGTCAGGACTCTTAGGGCATCTCTGCATTGCCCATGTGAGAAAAGCGAAAAATAAACATTTAGCACTGATCTTGCAGTGTGCTGATGTGGCTAATACATCTACCAGCTCCAGGGCTAGCCCTGCCTGCAGCATCTGTGCACTGTTTGGACATGCTTTAGCTGCACACAGAGGCAGACAGACTTTTTGCAGGTCAAGCATGTTGCCTGTCCCTTGCATTCCGCTTGTGTTTGGCTACCTACGTCTGTTCCGAGTCTGGCTCTTACACTAATGAAGTATATTCTTTTGCAGAACTCTTCTTCCAAAAGTCTCGCAACAATTAAGTTCTTGAAAAAAAATATTTTTTTTTAAAAACATGTTTAAAAGTACGAACATGAACCGTTGTCTTCTGCGAGGTCTTAAGCACACAGTATAAGTGAAAAGGCAAGTTTGTCTTTCACCTTATTCTTCTGAGGTACATCTCAAAGCAGTGAAGCCTTGTAGAAGATCTTTGATTTTGATCATTACCCTCACATATGAGATACTCTTCATGAGTGCCATGTAAACAACGAGGTCTAGGAAAGGAATCTGCATGACTGTAGAAAGGGGATGATGCATCTGGCTTTCTACTAATAGAAGAAGTTAGATGTCATGAGTCACCCCTACTACTCCCAGTGACATACACCACTGAAACGATGGAAGAGATCCTTGGACTAGTACGTGGCAAGTAAGTTTCAATCTTGGAAGCTTCCAGGTGAAAGAAAGTTGAGGAAAACGTACATCATTGTATATATCTCAGACCTTTCACCACTAAGATGACTCCTATGGACATCAGAGAGAATACATACAGAAAGTTTCCATTTAATTTGAATGTTCTGGTGTTTAGGATGAGAAACACAAGGTCCAAAACAAATATGTAATGTGTAAAGAGATACTTGATAAGATGAACTATTTTTGGAGCCATTTTTGCTTTTCTTGTGTTAACCAGAACAGGTTCTGGAAAAACATAGGAAAGCAGTAAATGGCTGACGGGGCATAGAGAGACTTTTAAAAGTGTCTCGGTGCAACTTTCCTTCTGTACATGTAGATCATCTACAAAAAGAGGATATAACAATTGAACAGAAAATTTGATGGCTGGGCATGTTTCACAGAAGGAGATGATGACCACTTCAACTGTTTTGCTTCTTCGTGTCTTAAAATTCACAGCACCTTGACAGAAATGATATGATGGCCACCCTCTCTTTGCAAGATACTTCACTTTTGTACTGTGCTACAATCAAATATAAACCAAATAGTATCATTTTCTTCTTTAACCTTTTAGACTTGCTAAGGAACTTTCATTTAATTTTTTAGACATAGCAGAGATAATTACTTTTGCAACCAGAACCAAGAGATTTGCTGGCAGGTTTCTAAGCATGCCTGACAGATCTGTGCTGCTGCTGGTTAGGGGAAAAAAAAAACCTCCTTAAATGTCCTTAAATAGCAGGATGATTATCAGGCTTGAAATGATAAAAACATTTCAATACTTATTTGTCCACCTAAATGCCTTCCCTTGTTACAGCATTGGGACTTGCTGCAAAAGACGTACAGTTTTTTTGAGATTGGCTGTGCTACCCTTTTGGAACCAGCTTTCCAGGTAGACTCTTTGTCTCACAATGAACAAACTGGTTATCACTCTTTGCTCCCTCACCCAGCCTTCCTGACTACCTTGCAAATTTTATTTTTTTGAGAGAACTAAAGAAAGTGATTCATTTTTCAAATCATTACTTCACTGCTGCTTCATTAGCAATACTCCAATTTCTAGAAAGGTATCAACAGAAACAAGTTATGAAAATTTTAGAAGGATGAAATGAGAAATTAAAACATTACTATTATGTGTATGTAGCTCTTTTCCTCCTGATTTAAAAGGAATGTTCTTTATTTAATTATTTGTCATGTTGCAAAAAAAAGAAAATTGAAAAAAATGGGTACTTTTTCAGTATATTCTACTAGTTTTGCAATAGATCATAGAATCATAGAATCATAGAATGGTTAGGGCTGGAAGGGACCTTCAAAGGTCATCTAGTCCAACCCCCCTGCAAGGAACAGGGATATCTCCAACTAGATCAGGTTGCTCAGGGCCTCATCCAACCTGGCCTTGAACGTCTCCAGGGATGGAGCATCCACCACCTCTCTGGGCAACCTGTTCCAGTGTTCTACCACTCTCATAGTAAAAAATTTTTTCCTAATATCCAACCTGAACCTACCTCCCTCTATTTTAAAACCATTACCCCTTGTCCTATCATAACTGGCCCTCCTGAACAGCCTCTCCCCAAGATCAAGAAGGACATTTTCCTTCTTTCCTGTAATGCTCTTTCTTTGAACTTCACTACATTAGCCCAGATGCTTGCATTTACATTTTCCTTGTCAAGCATATGGAATTATTAAGAAAAACGAAAACATTTACTTTGTCCTTCCTTTTGATTTAATATTTTGCTTTATTTCCTTATGCCTGCTGTCATTATTTGTTCTTGTCCTTATCACCTGAACTCATAAAGACATTAATAACAAATTTCTTCAGTAAAAAAAGTGTAGAAAAACTTGAAAATAGACATTTACCAATAAGTATATGAAATGTTTTTTCAAGAAGTGTAGAGGTTACCAGAACTCCACCAAGCTTCATAAGATCACTGTAGTAAATATCATTTGGCCATTTTACTCGCAGATCAATATCCTAAAGAAACAAAATCATACGTTTAGAAACACTTTGCTCTTCGATACTGATTGTAAGAACTTGGTTCACTCATCACTCCACATTCTATATTTTCTGTACCTCTTTGCTATACCGAATGTGATTCTGTCAACTGCTCTTCATAATGAGAACCTGTTTAAGTGCTCCACCAATGTTACTGAAAAAGTCATAGTCATGTGGTTACATGGTTTACTAAGGAGGTTGGCAGCTGACAGAAAAAAGCGTCTATTTATTAAAAATAAAAAAAAAATTATGGCAGATAATAAAGGGACTAAAGATACTAGAGATTTTCATTCTCAAAATTGTGAGGTTTTATAGAATTAATTCCCTTCATTTATGAGTGCATATTAAAGATTTAAAAGATCTATTCAAGAAAGATGCAAAGAGTGTCAGCCACCGTGGCTCACTGCTGATAAACAATCAGGGTAAGCGCACAATAACATCAACACTGTATTTGAAGATCCCTGCAGCAACCAGACAAGGAGACAATGACATCCTGAATTTCAGAAGGGAAATTTAGCAGACAGAAGAAAATCCAGTTCACAACTATGTAAATACTTCAGTAACGTCCTAAATATATTCACGCTTTCAGCAGCTACACTTAAGCAACACCATGGAGCTGGAAACACAAACTGTGCTGTGTGACGCTGTTCCAGTGCAATAGAGAAGTTTTTGTTGAAACCACAGAACTGAACTGAACTTTGCACCAGCTACTTAAACACAAAAAGAAAGCAAATGTGCTTCCTGTAGCTTGAAAAACTCCATATGACCATATCCCCAGAGGCAAATTATGTGGGGTGCTCCAGGACTAGGAGAGTCGCATTCCCTCCTATTGTAGAATATGAAATCCCTTTACAGGATGTGTGAAAACTGCACCTGGGTCCATGTCTACTTTCCTGACAGATTTAAAGGCCAGAGAGGAGTCCATTACACGTATATTGACAGGAAATACTACCTGATTTTGCTATCAAAGCATTCTAAGAGAGAGTATCACCAATTCATATTCATTACGGAAAACAAACTGACTCTTTGCACTCGGAAAAGATTTATAGAAGACTCTTGAGACATGCGAAGTATGACACAGTTAAACAGTATTATCAGTGTTAAGAGCTCCTCCAAAGACCTGTTCTGTAGATCTTACTTAAGGGAAACATTCACCTGTAAGACACCAGACACTAGGTCTGCAACTGAAGTGACAGCAAGCATGAAGAACAACCAAGTCAACTGGTCGTTCTCATGATGTAAACTACACAGCAGAGACTTTGCCACAAAATGGAGTTACAAGGTATTGCATAACTATCTGTGTGCCAAAGAAATGATGTGTGTCACAAAATATGCTGGAAATGGAGCACGTTCTTAACTTAGAATCATAGAATCACAGAATGGTTAGGTTTGGCAGTTCAAAGATCATCTAGTTCCAACGCCCCTGCCATGGGCAGGGACACCCTCCACTACACCAGGTTCTTAAAGCCTCATCTAACCTGGCCTTGAACACTTCCAGGGATAAGGCATCCACAATTTCTCTGGGCAACCTGTTCCACTGCCTCACCACCCTCAGAGTGAAGAATTTCTTCCTTAGATCTAATCTAAATCTGCCCTCTCTCAGTTTAAACCCATTGCTCCTTGTCTTATCACTATATACTCTTGTAAAAAGTCCCTCTCCAGCTTTCCTGTAGACCCCCTTTAAGTACTGGAAAGCTGCAATAAGATCCCCCGGGAGCCTTCTCTTCTCCAGGCTGACCAGCCCCAACTCTCTCAGCCTGTCTTCGTAGCAGAGGTGTTCCAGCCCTCTGATCATCTTCGTGGCCCTCCTCTGGACCCGCTCCAGCAGCTCCATGTCCTTCTTGTGTTGGAGACTCCAGAGCTGAATGCAGTATTCCAGGTGGGGTCTCACGAGAGCAGAGTAGAGGAGCAGAATCACTTCCCTCGACCTGCTGGCCACGCTACTTTGGATGCAGCCCAGGATACGGTTGGCTTTCTGGGCTGCCAGCGCACATTGCGGGCTCATGTTGAGCTTCTCATCCACCAGCACTCCCAAGTCCTTTTCCTCAGGGCTGCTCTCAATCCATTCTCCGCCCAGCCTGTACTTGTGCTTCAGATTGCCCCGACCCATGTGCAGGACCTTGCACTTGGCCTTGTTGAACTTCATGAGGTTCTCACAGGCCCACCTCTCCAGCCTGTCATGGTCCCTCTGCAAGGCATCCCTTCCCTCCAGTGTGTCCACAACACCACACAGCTTGGTGTTGTCAGCAAACTTGTGAAGGTGCACTCAATCTCACTCTCCATGTCACCAACAAAGATGTTAAATAGCACTGGCCTTACTAGAGAGAGATGTCTGCTGTTCTTAGGACGGGAAAGCAAACCATTCTCTTGGTATAAGGCCCATTTGCATTTGGAGAACTAACATCTGACAGTAAAACTTCCATTTGAGCAGCAAGATTTTCTCCATGAGGACCCAGAACAAATGCCCCAGTTGCTGCCTGTTTAGCATAGCCTACATTTGTGGCAATCCTAAAAATGTCGACTGGCTGATAAACTGAGACACAGGTATTTCAGATTTTTGAATGGAAATCCTGAAATGGACTTTGAGCATAGCAAACGACATTAAAGTGTGTTAAAGTATAATTACGATTCTGACATACATCCACAAAGGTATGGAAATTTGGAGGATAGAATGAAACCTCATCTGTAGATTAGCCCATCGTTTGCAGCTACTGCAGTTTGCATGGCATGGATGTTCATCTGATGTAAAGAAAAACCCTGCGTTACCTATTTTTAAAGCGGAAATTCAAGCATTGAGCTTCTGATAAACCTTTGAATTTCCTTGCTTTAACATATTTGAGTCCAGATCCTTAATATTGGTTTCACCCATTGTCTAGAGTGGAAGTACTTTCAAAGAGATGTAGTAGCTTTGTCTTAGTCATAGAAAGCTATGTATTGTACATGTACTATGTACAGTACATGTATTATTGATATATACTATGTTTATATTAATATTTAGTACTTCAGTCACCTTTTTCCTCTTGAATGTAATAAAATAAAAAATGCCACAGTATACCAGGTTAGGTGTACAGAAGCAAAACCACCTCCATTCATAAATTAACTTCTTCCCCAGTCAGTCTCATATTTTATAAAACTAACTCTTGTCCCTTCTATTTTAAATGGTTAAATTATTCACTCTAGCCAAATATTTTATATTGCAAATTTTAGCCTGAAGCATTTTGTTTTTATAGTCAAGATATGAAGCACTGAAGTTAGAAGGTTTTAATAGAAAGGCTGACAGACCTTAAACTACAGCAAAGCTACTGGGTGCCACTATAATAAAGTTCATGTGTAAATGTGTATAAGTCATTGATTTTCTGTAATATAGGAAACATATGCTTTAGTTAACTACTTCTGTAAAATACCAAAGTTTTATAGTTAGCAAATATTAGGAAATGGTAACATTAAAAAGGAGATATATGAAGTGTTGAAGAAGACTGGTTCTTCATTTTAATACTGATGACAGGACACTTGATTCCCTCTTGAGAGCAATACTCCTAAGTTCTTGCTTCAGAAATCAGTTTTCAACCTTAAACAAGGGTTGGAAAAATCCTTTAAAACGGATAAACTGACCACTGAAACAGCACCAACAAAACAAGCAGAAAAGGATTTGTCAGTTTTATTCATTTTTCCCTCCTCCCTCTTCTTTGACTCCCTTCGAAATCAAAACAAATTAACTCAATTGTTAGACAAACAAAATTGACATTTTCTTTACTGCTGAAGACTGAGTCTTAAGTTTCATAAGATTATGGGTGAAATGAGTGTGGTATACCTAATCGCCTCAGTAAAAGACAGTATTCATCAAATGTATACTAGATTTCTTAAAACATATAAATAATCAAGCATGTATGAAGGCTAAGTTTACCACTACATTAGTGCTGAAGAACTATATTATGCATTCAGTTATTCTACACATAGAAGACATAGTTAAAATCTGAATTTAATGAAAATGGAAATAGGAATTTTGAGATAAATTAGAATGACATACCTCATATCCTGGTATTGATCTAACTGACTCTACCACTGCCAAGGACACCAGGTGCTGAATAAAAGGAATTCTCTGGCCCAGGTTGGAATGCAGAGGAACGGCGATATGTAAAGTGGATAGTGCACAGCCCACAGGACTGAGCCAAACATTTCCACCACGACCTGCGGAGGAGAAGAAAAAAGTTAATCTCAACTCAAGAAAAAAGTAGAAAACTATAAACGAGAAAGATTCAATAGTATCCATCCAAGAACCTACCACAAGTGCTGTAATGGAGTTTCCAAACTAATTTTGAAAGAAAAATGGTGAAAGTGCAAAGCGTTTTCTTTAAAAAAAACCCAGTAGGTTGTTTAATGTTCATGCTGCTACTCATTTTCCTAGAACGTCCTAAATTACTTTCTTCCAGGATTTTCCTGGTATCTGGTAACATACATATTCCAAAAACTTTTGCTTTAAGTGAAGAATTATCTGTGAAGGTGCTCTGCGTGCATCTAGGAATCCATCCTCATTGTGAATCAACTTGACACAAGCTAGATCTGTGCCAAGAGCCAGGTAATCATCTTCATGTACATCTGTGCTCAGAAGAGCTTATTAGGCTGGGCACTGTGTTCTTCTAATAAAATGAACGTGGATTTTAAATCTATGCTAGCACTTTCCTGGGAAAGAGACGGAACTTGCTTATACTTATCTGCAAAAGAAAGCTCACATGACAGTTCAGGCAGGTCCTGCAGACTCAAGAAACCTCTGTCTCAGAGCAAGTCAAGACTCAGCCTTGTTCCAGTTAAATCAAAAAGGAGTTCTGATTTGTAAGTCTGACTTGTATTACACTAAATGTAGTGATGGCAGTTTCCATGACTGGGGAGACTTTTTGGCAGAAACTAGAAGACCACTAAATCACTTCTTCAAAAGCCACCAAACATCCTGAAAATGTTTACTTTGGTCTCTATTAACTTAGGTTTTGAGTTTAAATCCACAGTTGAAGTGGGAGGAGAAGAGGACAAGATTATTCTACAGACTATATTATCAAAAATACTCGTAACGTATCTTTAAGGCAGCTAGGTGACATTAAAATGTCCTATTTCATGTGTTTAATATGCATTTACTAGCACTAGAAGGAAACTTACTCACCTTTCCCCTGTGTTTGTCGAACAGCAATTGCTATTAAACCCATCTCCTCAGGCAGCTCGAACATTAACCTGTCAATCAGGAAAAAAAAAACCCCACACTTATCAGCTGGAACACTAAGCTACATTCATGAAAATTTCGGCTTAAATATCAGGTAATATTTTACGTTAACATTGCACTACCATTTATCCGTTTTCAGTTAACATTTATTCTTGACCAAAAAGCATTAGAATATTAAAAAAAGATTAACTGAAATACGATAATGTAAAACATTACTATATCTGCTATGCTGGAAAAACTTATAGCCATAGTTCATTTAAGGCACCTTCTGATAACATACGTTTTGTATTTCTTCACATTTTCTTGAAGTGCTTATTTTTTTCATTTCACTATCTCCAGTAAGTGACAACCAGCAATTCTAGACATTTGTTTCTACTTACAGCAAATTTTTGTTCATACTACAGAATATAAGAGCAGCAGTTTCTGATTATTTAGAAAACCAATATGGTGGCAATAAAGCAGTTTAAAAGATACACTATCCCCTGAGAACTAATTATGATTTAACTACAGTAAATAAATCTACACCTTCTGAGAACTCTAGAGAACACTGGCTTATTTTAAGCTTGTGTTCTGCTTTTAAAACAGTTTCACTTAAAAGAATACTAACTTTCCTCTGGGGATAAGTAGAAAGTGCACTTCAACACCACCAAATGAGTCAATGCTAGACTTAAAAAAAGAGGAAAAAATCCCTACTGTGAGAACTTCGTCCAAGCCACTTTAAAACAGATCTAAACTGTACTACGATCCTCCTCCATTTCGCATTGTCAGGAAGGGTTATTTCACAGATAAAACAGATATTCAAGATGTTGCCAGCAAGGTAAACCCACAAAGTGATGAATAGCCTACAAAGTTACTTCTAATATGGGCACAAATATAACGTTGTTCATTCATGTAAAAGCAATCTTGTCTTAGAGACAAGTTCGAATCAGCAAAGGGTACCGTTCAAAATTATTTCCTCTGAATTTCAGATGTGTATGAAAGGTGTTCCAAGTTGTGCAATCAAGCAAGTATCCACGGGCAGCAAGGACCAGCTGCAAGCAGAAGCATCCCCCCGCTGCCTACAGACACACGTGTTTATGCAGGTGACAAGCTAAGGAACTATCCATCCCTCCTGCTCTGCAGCTTGAAAAGTAGAGCTTCAGTAATTTTGGGGGCTGTATCAGTAGCAAAACGCAAGTAGGATCCCCAAGGTTTCAGAATATCTTTCAAATGGCTGACTTGCTTTTGTGATGATCAAAATGGGAGGTTATTGGAGGGCCTAAGCAAAGTCTGGACCACAAATGCCTTTGCTAATTAGATATACTTGAACCCAAACTGACAGAAGCCATAACAGGCTCCACAGGTTTTCTCACATTACTACTCCTAAATCAGCGAGACATTGTCAAAGAGCAATAGCCAGAAGATCTCTTTGCCAGTCACCTTCCAGTTCATATGAAATACAGTTTAATAATTCTTTCCTTTGAACCCTATGGATTACACACTGAGACCAGGCTCACCTATCTACCACCAATCTTTAACATTAAAAATATACCTCTTCTTATGCTGGGACCTAGGGGAAAATTCTCCGTAGCTTATGAGGCTTCAGCCCTGTCTTCTGGGAACAGCGTGATTTCAGTTACAACACCAAGTTCATGGTTTTGCAACATGAAAATCTAATTTAAATTTGGAAGCACAGTTAGGCAGAGATTACAGGCTTTGTTGAAACACACTGATTTCTGTTACTTCTCCATTCACATATTTGTTTTTAAACAGGCAAAAAAAAAGGTCATGTGCTGCCATGATGGGAGGAAAAAAATCAGAGCAGGAAAAAAAGTTAATTGTGAATCCAAAACACAAGCTTCTAGAACAAAGAGATATGATTAACAGAAGATATGAAGGTAGCTATTAGAGGCTTGGCAGCAGGTAACAACATATTAAACGCAGAGATGGAGTTTATACTTTTAAGGGCCATGAAGAAATTCTTTAATGGACACAACACGGGGAAATTGTTAATATCCAGAGTGATACAGCAAGAGACAGATAGATTTATTTTTACTACTTCCTGAGACTGTGCTGGAATTACCATGAAGCCTATTACAATAAAAAACCCCACACAACCGTTCCCCGCAAACTTCAGAGTTTTGTAAATCGTGTGTGCTTGTTATTTTTTTTTTTCTGGGAGAAACAACTTGGACTTTCCTTACCAGAAAGAGTAACCATACGTGCACTTTTTTACATATTGACTTCCCTTCTTTTCTTTCAACTTAATCAGTTGCAGATTTAACAATTTCATTTTCTGCAGAGTGACTTAACCACAGCACTAACCACATTTTCCAAAAAAAATTTTTTCTTTCAAGAAATTCTTTTTTGTGCTCTTTAACTAACTTGCTCTACACATTAAGTCAAAGACTACACTGAGATATAAAAGTAGGGAAACATGAAATGCCTGAAGACAAATTTAGCCATCAGGAAGAATAATGAAATGGCACCTATATGACTGTAAAAGACGATACTAGAATTTTACGTAAATTTTCATTTTCTGCTTTGAACTTTTTTGTGGTATTTTCCAAAATGTGAGCAAGGCATTTTTGGTATTGAAGAATATTAAACAAGTTGAAATACTAAGAGAGAGATTATAGCTCAATTTTTAATACCAATACCCTCCCCCCACCCTGTAGTGTGTATTATGAATGCTGTCAAGAGTAATAAACAATACTTAATTGTTTTATAGAAATTTCAAATCTAAGGAGGACTCTGTCTTCATGACTAGTCAACACAATGACTTTTCTTGCTACATGAATGTAAAATGGGAATTGAAACCACAAAACCTATGTTTGAATAATGTTAATGGCCTGACAACTATAAATTTCATTGATGTTGTGGGTTTAAGGTTGAAACTCTCATTAATGCATCCTGCTGGGTTACAGTATTGCAGAGGTATTACAACAGGCAGCATTACATTCCAGATGTTAAAATACCTGGGCACAAGAGGGTAAGTTATGAACAGATTTCTCCCTTCACTTCAAGTTCCTTGTCTGAAAATCTTACTCTCAAATAGCTTGTTTATAGAGTATTAGAAAAGTAACATAAAAAAGCCTTTCAATTTTTAGTCAAATGGAAAGGAACATGCCTTTTCACCAGTTTCTTGTATTATTTTGGACAAAAAGGGGCCCTGAACACATGCTTTACTACTTTACATCCACGGTTTCTGTCTATTACGTCCAATTTGAAAATGAGCAATGTGCCTACTAATATTTTTCCTAAATTCTCCTCCATTGCACCCCCTCTCCTTTTCATAGCCCTCAACTGCATGATGCTGTGTCTGATTCCAAGCTCTGTGTGCTGAATGGCCTGCTAGAGGGTGTGCTGGCCAAGCAGAATGAGTAACACTCAAGTCCATGCTGCAGACTCCTTGCCGGCAGCACTGATCTGGGTCTCTCTCTCCTACCTTGAAGCTTGTTTTCATGAGAATATGAATACCTGAAGGAGCTCAAAGACACGGAGGTCTTCTGTAAAACACGCAGTAGACTGACTGAGAGCTGGTGGGCCTCAATTAGAGGAGAAGCCACCAAGAATGACATCATGGTGGGAGTCTGTTACAGACCACCTAATCAGAAGGAGGAAGTGGAAAAAGTCTTTTTGAGCAACTTGAGGACATCTGCAGATCACAGATCCTGATGCCTATGGATTCTGGGATTGAAAAGTAACGGTTTGTACTCTACTTGTATGCTAGATACAACTGCAGTTCCTCATGGGTTTATCCTGAGATCTATCTTCTTTATTATCTTAATATCTTTACCAACGACCTGTAGGAGGAAATGGTATGCATATTAATGAAGTTTGTGAATGACATTGGCCTATGAGGATAACTAAGCATTGGAATAGGATGTCTGGAGAGGCTGTGGAGTATTTCTGTCCTTGGAGGTTTTCAAGATCTGACGGGAAAAAAAGTCGAGCAAGCTGGTTTTAATTCATTGTTGACACTACTTAAAAGAAGGAGGTTGGACTAGAGACTTTCAGGGATCCCTTCCAATCTGAATGATTCTTTGACTTCAGGAAATGTACAGAAACTTGGTATCTCTGGTGTTTCTAGCCATCCATTAAGTTTGGTTGAAATCTGTCAGAAACTAGTAATTAGCTACTAATTACTAAACTAGCAATTTAGTCCAAACGTTGTTCACTGGAATCCCCTATCTGAAGTAGGATCCTAGATTAAAGTAATTTTCACACTCTCTTACTAGTCAAAATATTTCATTTGATCCATCTTTCACTTTCCATGCAATATTTTATACAGGACCAGGTGTGACATGCAGCCTCCCAAAAGATTGACTCCCACAGTTGAGACAGGTAGAAGAACACCTAAACTGTTAATCCTACTGAGGCTTATTTAAATGATAGGAATCTTACTGCTCTGTACTGTTATAACTTTGCCTGTATCCAGCAGGCAAATATGTGCCAGAATATACTATGACATGAATGCACTCTTATGTTCCATTGCAAAAATTCATAGCTTCTTTCACTTTACAGTGGGTTTCCCTATAGCAATGTCAGTACAGAAAGGACCATTTAGCGTCAAATTCTCTTTGAACTCCTTAGATACTTTAAAGTCCTACATCAGTGAGAAAAGGCGTTAAGGGATTACAATGTCCCAGACTTACGGAAAACTGAAAAAGTACTGGAACCTTGGACTGCTAGTTTCTTATACCTTACTTCAATAAATACTATAAAAAGAAGATTGTCCTACCCTAGACATGACATTTTCAACAAGGAATAATCTATTGATACTATGAATGGCATAGGTTAGCAACTTTATATATACTTTGGCTATTTGGGTAGTCTTTGAGAGTGGTGCACTAATAACAATATAGGTTCAACAAAACCACAGCATATACGAAGACCGTAAGTAGGGTAAAGTCACGCGAGTTATTTTTCAGCTGGATCTATGCTCTATTCTGGCTCACCATAAATGAACACTGCTGTTGGCAAAAGGGAAGCAACAGTAAAAGAGGCCAGTGGATGGAAGGGAAGACTA